CCAATTTGACCAATACTAAACCCTTTGACCAACTGGTCAAATTGGTCAAACTGGTCTGGTCAAGCTTGACCATTGACTGGTCCGTGCCAACCCTGAATATCGTGTATAAAATATTCAAGTTACGCTCTTCAGATGCACTATATGCCTTTATTAATAAACTCCTTTATATATACGTATAATTTTACTATTATTTTAGTAGTCCCGACAAAACCCTATTGCATTTTTCAATCGATGCAATACTTTTAACCATTGCCATTTGTCAAAATTCAAAACGGCAACCTTTGTTTTAAGCGTATAATGACAAGTCAAGTCGTTAGCATTCTTAGTATTAGTCTATTTTAAAAATGTATATAATCATATTTTTAATATTATAGTATAAATTTAATTTTCAAAGTTTACACATTTTCGATAACTAGTGAACCTCATTATTTGTATCTGAGTAAATCCGATTATGTGTATCTGGACGAACTTAGTGTTTTATATCAGAGTAATCCTGACGATTTGTATCGGAGCAAGTCTGATTATTTGTATCTATGAATAGATTAGACATTTTTGCCCTGCGTTTTCGATACAACATAAAGCCAGCTGCCGCTACTGTGGCAGCAAAAGCAAAGGAACCTATCACACCACCCACTATTGCACTTGTATTTGACGATGACCCAGGCGTAGGTGATGTAGGTATAGACGAGGCATTGTTTGGAAGTGTTCCATTATACGTAGTAAGTGGTGGTATATTTCCTAAAATGAAGTTTGTCAACCGTAAATCATTCGAATCTTTGGTGATATCGGCAATCGCAATCCCTGCTAGACCATTACTATTTACAAAGTCGATTTTGGTATATAACGATTGATAATCTTCATAAAAAATGACATAGTAGTGGTTTCCTTGAGACTGGTATTGTTGGTAAAGATATGGCTGTTGCAAATTGTTTATAAAGCCGTAGGACCATGATGATGATGATGAAATTAGATTTGCAGGACATGATGATGATGATGATTGTAATAATGAACCACTTAAGTTTGTCCATGGCAAATATCCATATGTTGAATTTTTACATTGATCTGAAATCGGTTCATAATTAGGGAGTATAGAATTTGAAATTGAGACATTTACTGGGTGAAGTTGTTGGTTATTAATATCTGACTCAATATTGTTAGAAGAAACAATTTCGACAATGCCACCAAATTCAACGACTAAAACTAATTTTGAATCATCTAAACCAGTAGAATTCCAAGAGTTCCGGATTGCCTTAATTTGCTCTATTCCAGCACTTACGTTTCCGGTATCTATATTAAGACTAAATGCCTAAAATTTTATAAATAAATAATATTATAACCCATTATGTAAAGAAAAACAAGTTAAATCTTACCTGAATATTTACAAAACTAATGGCAGCGAAGATCATATTTACAGGAGGAAATTGACCTGCTGCAATCGTTAAAATCTTATTATTAATAACTGATTGTGTTAATTGTGTTCCTATGCTACTTATGAAAACTGAAAAACTGGGTCCTATTGAAGGATTGCACTGAAACTTCGATGGATAATCAATGTCAATCTATAAATAAATTAATTAGGAAGTAATTAACTAATTAA